GTTACCAAAAATAAAATAAAATAAGTTGAAATCCATTTTTCTGCTCCATGTAATTTAGAATAATTTCAGGAAGAAGGGATGGTCGTTCTGTTGGACCTTCCTAATCTGCAATTCTAAATATATTGGGGGGAAAATAATCTATCCCTTTCTAAAGGAATTTCCTCTCCACATGTACCCTTTATCTAAATCTTTTCTAATTCTTGAACTCATTTTTCTGAAAGGGAAGGTTACTTCATTATCTCCCTTTGCATTAAAAAACATACTTCCTGGTGTCATTTTCAAGGAAGAGATTGTTAATCGTAATGTAAAATGGAACAAGGAAATTAAAGTTGGCATACTTAATAACAATTGCCAGATGATTGTCAAGATGAGCATTCCTGCTAACATGCTAGATCCAATCCCATGGCAACTTCTAGAGTACAGTAGAAGGGTTCACACCTGCTCCTGTGATGTTACAGAGCTGGGGTCTGAGGTTATAACATACTTTGGATTTCTTGAAAGAGAGTCTCATTTAAAAATTCAAGCACTGTTATTAATTTCCAAGTTTATATTATTTATTATTATAACATTAAAATGTACTAATTTTGTTTTTGTGAATCACCAGTTTTACACTGCATGAAAATGTACACTTATTAGTCTTGGGTTTTTCTTTACTAATTACAAGATTATGAAATAATATTTAATATATTAATATTTAATAATATTAAGAATCAGGGAGACTATATTCAGTAAACTTTTCATAGCTCAGCATCAATATTCTAGAAATCTTTGTAACTTATAAAATGAATAAATGATTATAAATATTTGTGCTTACTGATTTAAATCTGTGCATACTTAACTGAGTTTCTTTAAAAAAATAATTAGTAGGGCTAGGGATGTAGCTTAGTAGTAGAGTGTTTGCCTAACATTCAGAAGGCTCTAGGTTTGATCCTGAGTACTTCAAAACAAAACAAAGAAACAATGAATGATGATATCAAAGATATTTGACAGAAATTAACATTCCCACCTCTCTCCTTGCAGAGGAGTTCTCTGACTCAGCCCAGGGGATAAGTTTCTTGAGTTTTCCTGAGATCTCCTTTAAAAATGTCATGCAGACATAAGGTGGCCATCTTGTTATCTGATGAAAATTTTCCTTCATGATAAATGTGTTACCATTGTTCTAGGATTGGGGGAGCATAATTTTTGTTTTACTTATTATTTCTTTGACCATTCTTGAATATACTCCAACTTAGTTTTCTCTCTATTATCTTAATGTGCTTTCTGTAAAACTTCTGAAAAAATAATTTGAAATCAACAAGTGTTATATGTACATAAATAATCCCTTCAAATGATTAGGGAAAAGGCATTTGGGAACTTCTGGACGGGCTTTTTGAAACATACACTTTGTTTGGGTTTGATTTGATTTGGTTTTGCTAAATTCATGTCTGATTTCTAGCCCAAACCCAGGCTTTTTTCAATAATACATTGTTGCAGTGCATAATGATTACATTCATCATGGAGAGTTGGTACATGTAACACATCTTAATTCTTTTTCTTTTTCTCCTCTCCTACCTCCCACTCCTCCATCTCTAGACTCCCTTCCTATTTGCAAAAGATCTATCTTGCTGTTTCGTATTATTCATTCTTTATTTTGTTCTTTAAATTATTTCTACTTTAGGCCAAACCCAGATTTCTCCATTTACTCGTAAACATTTGTTAAATATTCATTAAATACTCATTAAATGAGTATCTGCTAAATACTCTAGTTATTACCTTATAAAACTTCCTACTCACTAAGGAAATGAAGCATTATATTCTGAATATTCTGTGGATTGGAGCCCTAAGAGAAACACGTTAAAAAGTTCCAAAAAATGAATACAAAATTTCTGAGAAAACAGGGAAAATGAGTTTTAAATTGGGCACTGGGGGATTTCTAACAGCCAAAATAATGGAGGAAAAAATGGGATGAGCAAAAATATTGGCAGAGAACAAATGGAGGTGTTTGGGAAATAGAAAACATGGCAATTTAGAGTTGGAGTTCTGCAGAGTAACATTCTATTCACTGCAAGGCTTTGAACCCTTAGGTTTAATTCTGAGCCAATTGTAACTCCACAGGATATGTAAATAGGGATAACAGGTTAGAATTGTTTTTTGGGAAGATTGATTGGCAGTGATACCTAAAGTGGTATGGAAGTGGTTTGAATGCTATTTTGTGAAGCTATGGAACTTCTTAGGAAATTTTGTAATAATGTGTTTGAGATAGTGAGGGCTGAATAAAAGATAATGGTGAGCACAGGGAAGAGAGAGAATGCAAGGCCAAAGGAGATCAAGTGCTGTGGTGGAAATGACAGAGTATAACCTAGTTGGTTAGTAGTCAAAATTCTGGGCTTTATTCCCAAGTTAGTTATAATGTTTGGGTTTTGAGTTTTGGTGAGGTCTACTTTGACCAAAATGTGGTAGAAAAAGTATGTCCATAGAATGGCCATCCTGTCTGATCAAAATTTTCTTAATGATCAGCGTACAGGGTGTTAAGTTTTTCAAGAAAAGTTAGAGTATGTCAACGAAAAATTTGGACTAAGGACAGCTTTGAACTCTAATTCAGAGCAAGATAACATCTCTGATGCTCTTTTATAATACCTACTTCATAAGTTTTTGCAAGAATTTAAGACCTAATGACATCATGCATATAAAGTAACAACACAGTCTGAAACATATAGTAAGTGAACAGTAAGTATTAATTCTTCTTTCTTTTTCCTGCTTCGAATTTACAAACCTTGGAAAGACTGACTTTTTTTTTTTTTTT